AGGGGAAGGATACAAAAAGCTAGCTCAGAGATTTCAGCTGTCAGTTTCCACTGTGAGGAACATAGTGAGGAAATGGAAGAGCACAGGCACAGTTCTAGTTAAGGCCCGTAGTGGCAGGCCAAGAACAGTGACAAAGTTGAAGTTGCTCCAGGGCTGGATACTTCAACAAGACAACGACCCTAAACACTGCTCAAATTCTACCAAAGCATTTATGCAGAGGAACAAGTACAACGTTCTGGAATGGCCATCTCAGTCCCCAGACCTGAATATCATTGAAAATCTGTGGTCTGTTTTAAAGCGAGCTGTCCATGCTCGGAAACCATCAAACCTGACTGAACTGGAGATGTTTTGTAAAGAAGAATGGTCAAAAATACCTTCAACCAGAATCCAGACCCTCATTGGAAACTATAGGAAGCGTTTAGAGGCTGTTATTTCTGCAAAAGGAGGATCTACTAAATATTGATGTAATTTTCTGTTGGGGTGGACTAAATATTGATGTAATTTTTCTTTTGGGGTGCCCAAATTTTTGCACCTGCCTACTCTTGTTTAAGTAATTATTGCACACTTTCTGTAAATCCTATAAACTTCATTTTACTTCTTAAATATCACTGTTTTTTGCTATTTGATATATTTAATTGAAATTGCTGTTCTGAACAACCAATGATACATAAAGGAAAATCTTGAAAATGATCAGGGCTGCCCAAATTTCTTCATACCACTGTATGTATATATACATTTTTAAAATTATATTAAAGTTGTCTAGTACAAACTATAAAAACAAATGCCTTTCCCCTACGTCCGTCCTTGTCTGTGTTGATGTGTCTAAGGTTTGTCCTGGGTGGTTTGCGACGCCGAGGAGCTGCCCTTTGATGACAACCAGTTTGACATTTACACCATCGCGTTTGGCATCCGCAATGTCACTCACATTGATCAGGTGACTGAGTGGAGATCTGATGAAAAAAGGAAACAGCTGTGACAAATAGCAGGATAACAGGGATACATAATTATGTTTTCATTGTTTTAGGGGAAAAAAACATAACATTTCTGCTATTTATCTTCCTTATTGTGATTAGCTGACTTTCACTTTCTTATTGTTTTTTTTCCTCCTCTTTGGACAGATGATGTAAAATGGGTTTAATAGAAACCAGTGTCAGCCTTCCATTCACATTTCTACACATTTTTCTGAAATATTCATATATGGCTTCTTCTCCTCGGAGAAAGCAGTGGGTCATCAAACAAACAATAATATTTCTGCTATTTCACTTTCTTATTGTTTTTTTTTCTCTTAGCTTTAGCAGCTGTGGGCACTGAATTGATGCAATTCTTTTCACAGGCACTTCAAGAGGCTCACCGGGTCCTGAAGAGTTCAAATATATGATAGAAGACGCAGGTTTTAGCAGTGTGAAATATCACAACTGGACCGGGGGAGTCGTGGCTCTTCACTCTGGCTTCAAACTATAACAAGTTCGGAGCAAATGGAATTAAAAAGACTGTCTTGAGAAATCTTCGCTACACAAAACGTTACGACCTCAGTGACTGTTTGTAGTTTTGTGAATACTGTAAAGATACAAGTTATACTGCCCGGAAATAAAAATATATGCGTCTGTATGTGTCAAATGAAAATAAAAGTTGAATATAATATTAAGAGTTGTCCTATGTCATTTTACTTCATATATCTACTTTTTTTTCCCATTTGTCGTTTTTGTTTTTTGTTCACAAAGAAATTTAAACAAATATAGATACATTTAACTCGTACTTGATGTGAACAAAAATGGATTTTGGACACGTACCTGTATATCTATACAATCTACAGTATAATATAAACATGTATAAACACATATGTATTTACATATGTTCACACATACAGTACGTGACTCAAACATTTAACTAGTTCACCTACGATTAACAACATCAGAGTTTTTTTTTTCTTTTGTAAACGTCCCTGAAAACAACAGCTGCCCCAAAGGGCTTGTTTATGAGTGTTTGCTTATTTAGACCGAAATGTCATCATGTTCCACTAGAGGTTAGAAGTGGGAGTTTAACCCCTGTGCGGTCCAATATGTCTGTGTGTCTGTGTCTGTGTATGTGTGTGCATGTTCCTGTACTGCACAACTTGTGCCAACATTTCCTCATTTTCATTAACCATTATGTGGTCCTTCAATGACATTCTGGGTTTAGGTGACCCCCAAACTGTCATTGTGTCTGTGCGTCTGTGTCTGTGTCTGTGTTTCTGTGTGTGCATGTTCCTGTACTGCACAACTTGTGCCAACATTTCCTCATTTTCATTAACCATTATGTGGTCCTTCAATGACATTCTGGGTTTAGGTGACCCCCAAACTGTCATTGTGTCTGTGCGTCTGTGTCTGTGTCTGTGTTTCTGTGTGTGCATGTTCCTGTACTGCACAACTTGTGCCAACATTTCCTCATTTTCATTAACCATTATGTGGTCCTTCAATGACATTCTGGGTTTAGGTGACCCCCAAACTGTCATTGTGTCTGTGCGTCTGTGTCTGTGTCTGTGTTTCTGTGTGTGCATGTTCCTGTACTGCACAACTTGTGCCAACATTTCCTCATTTTCATTAACCATTATGTGGTCCTTCAATGACATTCTGGGTTTAGGTGACCCCCAAACTGTCATTGTGTCTAGAAATCTTCGCTACACAAAACGTTACGACCTCAGTGACTGTTTGTAGTTTTGTGAATACTGTAAAGATACAAGTTATACTGCCCAGAAATAAAAATATATGCGTTTGTATGTGTCAAATGAAAATAAAGGTTGAATATAATATTAAGAGTTGTCCTATGTCATTTTACTTCATATATGTACTTTTTTCCCCATTTGTCATTTTGATTTGGTTCACAAAGAAATTCAAACAAATATAGATACATTTAACTCGTATTTGATGTGAACAAAAATTGATTTTGCACACGTACCTGTATACGTATACAATCTATAATATAAACATGTATAAACACAAAATATGTTTTTACATATGTTCACACATACAGTACATGACTCGAACATTTAACTAGTTCATCTACGATTAACAACATCTGAGTTTTTTTTTTCTGTAAAAGCCCTTGAAAACAACAGCTGCCCCAAAGAGTGTTTGTTTATTTAGACCGAAATGTCATCATGCTCCACTAGAGGTCCTACGTCTTTGTGTGTGTGTGTGTGTGCATGTTCCTGTACTGCACGACTTGTTCCCACTTTTTCCTCATATTCATTAACCATTGTGTTGTCCTTCAGTGAATGTCATTGTGTCTGTGTCTGTGTGTGTGTGTGTGCATGTTCCTGTACTGCACTCTTGTGCCCAATTTTTCCTAATATCCATTAACCATTATGCGGTCCTTCAATTACATTTTGGGTCTAAGTGACCCCCAAAATGTCATTGTGTCTGTGTCTGTGTGTGTGTGTGTGCATGTTCCTGTACTGCACTCTTGTGCCCAATTTTTCCTAATATCCATTAACCATTATGCGGTCCTTCAATTACATTTTGGGTCTAAGTGACCCCCAAAATGTCATTGTGTCTGTGTCTGTGTGTGTGTGTGTGCATGTTCCTGTACTGCACTCTTGTTCCAACTTTTCCTCATATGCATTGATAAAAGTCGTTATTAACCCTCCTAAACATAGCATATTGTTTAAACGTTTCATCCCAACGTGCTAAGTTAAATTATATATATAAGAGAGAGACTTTTAAACAAAAGGATAAACGTCATACAAAATAACTTTTTTAAAAACAACGTTTTATTTTGAAAAGGCTTGCATTCAGCTTCCACATCTGACTTCAAGTGGAGGATGTTGACGTTTGGTGGCTTTGACAAACAAGTTAAAACGCAACTTTCGGTTATCTATAATTTTCAAGCGCATTTAGAGGAAAAACAACTCGACGCTGTTCACCTTTGTGTCCTAGTTAACTGTTCGAGTCATCGAAGCATTTTCGCACTATGAACCTCGGTTTAAATATATACCGACAAGGTTAAGACCGCTCGTAAAACACGACAAAAAATAAAAACATTTCGATGGATATTATAAAGTACCTGAAAAGTAATACTAACCACCTCACGCGTAGGCAGACCAGACAAGAGTGAGAATCTCTTTGGTGTTTAACCTGTGCTCGTGCAACTGTGTGAATATCGTTACGTTTATGTGAATATCGTAACGTTTTTCCAAAGTAAGCTAACCAGGACATTCGTTTAACAAACATTAAATTGCAAATAAACACATTCATGCTAAATTGGAAAGAAACACGACAACACGAGTTACTTGCATAAAACTGTATATTTACACAACTTTGTACACTTTTAATTACAAAACTGTATGGTACTAAAGTTTTAAAATCATTTTTTTGGTCAGAGAAGATTTAAATCGTCTTGTGTGCAATTAGCCATGTACGTATTTACAACGTCTCATGTTAGTGATGTCTTTTCTCTCTCTCAAAATAAAAAGCAACCAAATAACTCAAACTTTTTTACACTCTGAACATAAGACATGGCTTAAAGATAAATATATTAGTAAATAAATATTCAGAGAACATATTTCCCATTTATGACATGTGTTTTTTATACAGGTACAGAAATATACACAGATTGATTTCTAGTCTTTAAACATTTTTAATGGTAATGACAGAAAATAATTATATTCTTAAAAAAATTACAAAATATTATTTTTTTACACATTTTAATATTTTTTAAGTGCCAGAAACAATAAAATTAAATAGTGACTCAAGTACCCCAAAGTGTTATATTTGCAGTAGGTACATATCTCTATGCAAAAGGCAAGATTAGATTCTCACTTGATTACAGCACTGGGTTAACTTTATAAATAGTGTTATTCCAGAAGCTTCTCCTCTGTGTTCAATGTGTATATTTCATAGAAACAGTATAAAAACAGTCTGCAGGACAAACAGAAAGGCATGAATGAGGAGCATTAGTGACGAGGAGCATTGATATTGTGAGTATGCGTTGTGCACGACATGATGTGACTCAGATTGATACATCGTGTTATGTATAACTGCATTTTTCTGATACATCGTGTTATGTATAACTGTATTTTTCTACAAAAAAAAAAAAAGTCACAGTACAAACAGGAACCCTTATGAAATACGAGTCTCTTCCAGCTTTTTTTTGTTTTGAGTCTCTTCCAGCTTTTTTTTTTTTCCTTTGGCCTTTTGACACAAGCAAATATAGACATTAGTTGGCCTCACTGAGGAAACAGGTGTTGGGAAAATTACACTTTTAAGGGTTTCCAAATGAGAGGCTGAGTGCTGCACTTTACTTTTGTTGAAATCCTTCTACCCTCCCGACACTGTCACTGTGAGTTCAACCAAAAGCAAGTGCAGTGTCTGTAGATATTGCTACAAATAAGGCTTCAAAGTTGCTCTGGCACATCATCAAAAGGTCAATAGGCCACTGCCGGACACTGATGCAAAGCATTGGACAGATTATGTAAAATGGGTTTAATAGAGACCAGTGTCAGCCTTCCATTCACATTTCTACGCATTTTTCTGAAATATTCATATATAGCGTCTTCTCCTCGGAGAAAGCAGTGGGTCATCAACATGACGACCCATTCCCCTGCTTTTGAAAAACATTAAAAAAAAGAAACAATCATGTCTTTCTGTTTTGGTATAGCTGTGTCCTGGTGGTTGGACTTTTATAGGCAGTCAGTGTTCATGTGCACACATACAAAACTGTATATACGTATATGCAGATGTTAGTCAAAAATGTGTTTCTTGTGGTTAAAAAAAAACCTCTTTGCTAGATCTTCTGCAGAAAATTGATCAATAATTAAATCTGAAGATTTTTGTTTTAATTTTTTACAAGAAACAGGGCTGAATTACTTGGCAGTGAAAGGACAAACCCTTACTAGTGCCAGAAAATGTCACAAAAAGTGATTTAACTTCCAGTTCAAAGACCCACCAGCTTCATTCGTAGTAACCATAGACCATACGTAAGTAGCCACGAGTGACGCCCCAAAAGGACTGTGCGTGTTCCACTGGTTTTTACCACTGGGGTAAAGTAGGATTTTTACTGCTAACTTTATGGTCTTAATCAAAAGCATCAGGTGTTGTTCAAAAGATCCTGGATAAAAAGGAAATTATGTGGGTGATTTGTATATACACATATATACATACATATACACATACGTATATATGTACATACATACATATACAGATATACATATACAAACATATATACATATACATATATATATACATATACATATAGATATACATATACATGCACACATATATACACATATGTAGATAAACATATATCTATCTATATATATATATACAGATATATATGTGTATGTATGTGTATATCTACATATACATATACATAGTTTTGAAAGTGCTAATTAAGACCATAAATCGTCAGTCATTTTTGTTCTTGATATTAAAAATAAAATGAAATGAGAAGATGCCTATTTTCTCACTCATTTAAACAGTTTCCAAACCAGCGAGGCTACTTCTCGGCCCCCATGGTTTACATCGCTTTAACTCGGTGCTACAATAACTTGGTTTTTTTTGTTGTTGTTTTTTTTATTGTTTTTTTGCAACCGAGTTATTTGTGATCACAGGAATGAACAGAAAACTTGGTGTGTCGAAATGAGCGGCCTTTTCAGTAGAAATCCAAACAATCTAAGACATTTCCCGCTCAGATAGCGCGGTAAGAACAAGGCCACCGAGGGTTTTCTATGATTGACTGACTGACATGGTACCAAAGAAACATACATCTGACCGTCCCTTCTCCCCAGCTTCAAGTTCATAAACCCAGACCTCCCTCATTCGTTGAAGTACTGTTTCCCCCTGTAGTTTGGCTCACAGATAAGGGAGAGCAGAACAACCCCCTGGTCTCCTCCTCTTGAGGGTATGTCTGACCTCTAAACTGTCCTGAGGGGAAGAACCCCTCCTTGGGGTCACACTGCTCCCCTGTTCCCACCTCTGACTCCACCGTGACACCAATGGGCAGCAAACTGCCTTTGGTCTCTGCCCCCGTGCCCACTTCACAACCTGTGTCCTCAGGAATTATGGGTATTCTCTGGTTGAGTTCACAGCAGCCTTGTCCCGTGCAGGCCTCCGAGTCTGCGTGCGCGTACTGCACATTGACAGTGTAGTCCTCAGTGTAGCATCCCGCCGCGGCCCGGTGGACCTTCATTTCTTTGTAGAAGCAGCAAGGCAGTCCTTCGAAGGTCATCTGCTCTGACGAAGGGCACAAATGCTCAGGAGAAAAGTAGTTCTTTGAGGTGGCGCTCTGAAATTCCAGCCCCCTGTGACACCGCCCTGGGACCAGAGGTCCAGCTTGGTCCAAGTCCTGTCCCTTGCACTCTAGATTAGGTGGGAGCACTTCAAAGCAGCAGCTACACGCTGCCGCCCCAACCTCCCCCGAATCCTCCTGCGCCCCTTTCCCCCTCTCCGCCCCAATAGCTTCCGGAGCCCCCGCTGAGGTAGTGCTAATGTTGCTGTTCTCCCTGGGTTCCAGTGATGAGCGACTGCTGTAGGTGGGCTCCAAGCTGCAGTTGGAGAGATGGTCCCCAGAGTTATATCCCGAAGCTCCAGGAGGGAGCTGGAGGCAGTCGTGTCCGAAGGGACCGTGGGATAAGGACTCCTCGGCTGGAACTGTGGTGCAAGCTGCGGCTCCGGCTTCACCCGTAGACACCCTGCAGGGGCTTTTACTACGGTAGACGTAAGGATCATAGTCACTGCTCAGTGAGCTGCGAAACGTTGAGCAGCTGCCGTACACCCCCTGGTTACTGACCTCCGTACAGTCCAACATGGAGTCACTGGACGAACAGTGGCACTGGCCTGAGCTGCTGCTGCTGCTATCACTGCCAGGACAGTCAGCCAGGTAACCGCTGCACACTGAGCGATGGCCGTGGTAACAGCTCAGGCCAGACGTGCTGCCAGTGTCGCCTATCCTCGACGAAGAAGCGGAAGCCATGTGTACCACCGTGGGATAGAGCAGTCCTTGCTGAAAGGCTCTGCTGTGGTGGCCCTTGGAGGCTCCGCCCAGGTGCCCGGCCACCATGGGCCCTTGGCCGCTGTCAGGCTGTTGAGGGAACGTCAGCCCCTGAAAGTAGTAGTGCTGATACATAGTCTCGTACTGCGAGAAGCACGCCGCGCGGGAAAAGCTGCGACTGTGAAACTTGGGTCGCTTGAAAGCAGCGTGGTGCGGCTGGGCCGGGTACCCGGGTGGTCCACGGTGATCGAGTCCGCAGTGGTGAGGGTTTAGAGAGTGGTCCAGATGAAGTGGGGGGTGGTAGCTCCTCAGAAAGGCGGATGTGGACTGGGAAGGGAACAGAGCCTGAGGATCTGGGTGCTGGTCAACAGTCAGTACAGTGATGGCGTTGCCATGGGGGTCCATGCTGGTTCTGGTGGGATAGGCAGTCACCTGACCGGCTCGGTGCACCCTGCCGGGGTAATGGACTGGCAGCACCACCCTCTGTCTGTGGACTGGGTTACCAGGGTCCATGCACACAGCGCCTGGATTTCCCTTTTTTTGTTCTGTTGAATGACATGATTTTTTTTTTTTAAAGAAAAGTTTTTCATGCAAAAGAAGTGTTATTTTTTTCATCAGGAAAATACATTTTTATATCGATCGACTGACCAATAATGTTGTGTCTACAGTGAGGACAGGTGTGATGCTGGAGCAGCCAGGGGTCCACACACTTTTTATGAAATCTGTGAGCACAGGGGATGACTCTGAGCTCCTGTGAAGACAAAAAAGGGAAAGAAACGTATTGATACAAGATAACATGAAATAAAAAATGCATTTGTTCATACATGACACTAAACCTCAGTAAATATATAAAACATCTCTCTATTAGTTTGAGGGTGTTTTGCCTCAAAGTCGAGAGGATGGATCAGATTCCGTAATTTTGTACTGCTGTGTAAAGACGCGCGTGTTTAAATGTCCACAAGGTGGCAGCAACGCAACATTAAACCAGGAGTAGTAAATACAGGATGCTCCCAAGTCCAAATATGTTTTTGACTTTAGGGAACCAAACACACTAAAATATTTAAATACATTTCACACTGTGGTATAGAGCTTTAAACTTCAGTGTTCAGAGAACAAACAAAACCATTTCTGATAAAAGTTTTTTTTGTTTTTTGTTCCTCCAATAAGGACTCTTTCTCAGTGCCACCAACACTTAACTCTGTGACTCCAAGTGACTCATCTTTGGACTATTTTCCCCTCCGAGCCTTTGTTGCCCAGTTCTCAGCTCAAAAACTTGCTTTGATGCCATTCAGCCTTTTATATCGCCACTTCCTCTGTGCAATCCTGGCGCCTCACTTTGTTGGGTTTTCTCCTCCTTATCGAACAGACGCACAACCACAAAAACACACATCCACCAACTATGCCCCCCCCACCCCCCCCCCCCCACCCCTCGGGCACCATTGGTCTGTCCCTGCAGTGTCCCTGGCTGAGGATGAGCAACGTTGTTCCAGTAAACCCTCTGATGTCCAAGTGTGGGATACATATTTCAACCATGACTCCTTTAAATATTAAAGATGACATGCTGGGAAAACAGGAAGCATCGTGACCACCCGGTGCACTGTGGCTACTCTTATCACGGCAGGTGTCCTGAAAGACTCTTTTAAGACCAAGACATCTTAAAATGGGGCAGAAAAAAAAAAATTACAAAGAACCGCCGTCTCCGAGCACATCGGGGGGGAACTTCCATTCTATTGTTCATGACTCTGCATTATGTTTCATGTCTGCAAAGAGTGGGATGAAAAAAATAACAACGTTGCTACAGTTGGAGCTTTTTGATCTAAACTTTTGTCCATCAAAGAGCAGGGAAAGGGAAAGAGTTTTCAACCGCAGAGTAAATTCTCATCACTGTCGTCCTCCTGTTCATTGTGGCTATATTACGCCCGTGCAATTAGTGTAAACCAGGCGTGCGCAAACTTTTGGGCTCGCGGCCCACAATGTGTCCAAAAATTTGACCGGGGGGTGGGGGTGGGGAGGGGACAAGTCGGGAGCAGATAAATGGAGCGTTTGTATGAGAGAGTTTGTCAGAGAAATGACATGTAACAAAGGTTAAAATGCTAAAATGCTTTAAGCCATCTATTGGGGAAATGCAGACATTGCAGAGAAAATGCATGAGTATAATAAATAAAAATAAAAATAAATTTGTACTATATTGATCCCATATTTGGGAAATGTTTGTGTTAACAGCTGATATGCTGTTAACAGGCTGCCCCCAGCAGGCGCCAAGCATGTGTCTCTGTCTCTGGGAATCGAACCTAGGACTCTGTTTCCAAGGCATGCGTGCTAACATCTATAACTATGGAACCGACATGATTATTTTATTAAAATTATTTAATTTATGTTATTATAAATTAATAACATAAACCAGACAAGTTCGGCGGGCTGGATTAAAAACCAAATTGGTCGCATCTGGTCCCCCGGGCCGTAGTTTACACTGTAGTGTAAAACTCTGAGGGTAAAAAAGTGGGTCCAAAAGTTTCAAGATTTAATCATTTGTTTGTTTGATATTAATAATCAACAGGTGTTAAATGAATGTAAATGTGAATTTATAAAATAAGAACCTGGTATTTCTTACCTCTCCGTCCATGTACTTCTCCAGACAAATGGCGCAGTCAGAGGTGGAGCTGCTGCTCAGGGAATCAGAGGCTTCACAGCTGTTCTCCCGCTGACCCTTCGCTTTGGCCTTGAATTTACGAATCTCCATCTTACCCAGAGCCTGTACGGCCATTCTGTTCATGGAGTTCTGTGACGACGAGGCAGTGATCAACAAAAAGAAAAGAGACGGATCATTACCTTAAAAAAACATGGAAATATGCTACTATGCTATTTTGCTAGCATCTGTAATTTTGCAATTTTTTTACTTTAACATTCAAATCAGTTTGGTTCTATTTTTTTCCACCCTAAACTCTAAACTACTGTTTGGAATTTAATGAAATGACACACACATGTCAAAGAGTGTGGATGACCTACGGCAATCAGCGCCTTTATTTTGAAGGCACCGCTCACGTTCAAGGCTGTTATTTATACTCAATTATACCATCATGCTTGGCGACTGTTCCATCCACACAACATGATGATTGATTATAATAGTCCTTCAAAGTATGTGTGTGATCACAGCAAGACACACGTGAACTACGCGGATCCTGGTAATCATTATTTTCAACGGGTAATTGACTGCATTTAAAGCTGTCGTTTGCTGAACTTCAAATACATGATAATCACCTGATACCACTGACACCTGACACAGGGGTGATGAGTATTGTATAAACAGTTGACTGAACACACCTTTCTCCAAAGGGTCAAAGGTGCGACCCATTTGTATTATGGTGCCCTAATTAGCCGCCATTTTAAGTCATTTGCTGCTGTCACACACCCACACACGGAATACACACACGTGCATGTGGCGCTCCCACTGCACTGAACACCTATGGTTGCAGCTATAGGTGTTCAGTGCATTTCTGGCTCCTCATTAGTGCTAATTATTGTTTCAGAAACTTCATATTTGCTTCTATAGAAAGCTTTTGACAAGACTGGGGTGTGCAACCTATGGCTCCTGGGCCACACGTGGCCTTACCAGAGCTCCCTGCAGTAGAACAAATTACTGTAATACACCATGGCAGTATTACAAGTAAATAGTAGATAAGAAAAGAGATGTTTTACAAAAAAAAAAATTTCAAGTCATTTTTAACATCATTACATTTTCAACAGGCAGAGGCAAACTACGGCCCGGGGGCCGGATGTGGCCCGTTTGGCTTTGTAATTTGGCCCACCATAAGTGTCAAAATTATGATATTGATTTCTATCATTATACTTCTGCCTTTTCCCTGGAGTGCCTGCAATTTGGCAATTGATGGCGTAGAAAAGGCTAAAAGAATTTTAGCATTTTAGCATTTATGCATGACTTGACCCCCTGTCAAATTTTAGGATGCATCGTGGTCCCGCGGGTCAAAAAGTTTGCCCACGTCTGCACTAACACGTGCAGTGTAGTCATGTTGCCTGATAAACTAAGGCCCTGTTTACACAGCGACAATACTACAGTACAGACTACTACTACTACAGTAGCCTGCGGATACACATTATTGTAAAGTTCTGGTTCATGAGCAAATGTTAGGTTTTTAACCTGGACCATTCCTGGTTTTTATATACAATGGGCAGCAGTGATTGGACACTAACCTGGCTTCTCCTCTGCTTGAGTTTGATCTTGATGAGCAGAATGAGGCAAACCAGTGACACGACCACAAAGAAGGCCAGGAAGATCCCCATGTCAAAATATTCCGTGGGCTGCTGTGGGAAAAACACAGAGGAAAGAGCATCACAGATTTGTCAAACATCCTTGATACACAGCCGCGTCAACGGGTCGGCACAATGGTTTTTGTGGACTTGTGTTTTTCATTTACCTCAGTGTCTCAGGATATTTAATTATAATTTTGTTTTGCAAACCCTCAGCCCTTGGTGCTATTACGCATTTCCTCTGCCTTGTACAGATAAAAAGAAACATTTAAGTTGTCTATTTTTATCTTTATTTTTATTTCCTTCTCTTGTATAAATCATCAGTGCTACATACAGCACTGTGCAAAACTCTTGTTCTGTTGAAACTCTTATTAATGCTGAAAAAACTCAAAATTTTGCTAAAAATAGCAAATAGCATATATTTGGATTAAATGAGTTTAAGTAAAAGATTTTCTTAAAAACAACGCCTCTGTCATGCAGCATATCTATATGGTGTTTAGAATAGGGGGCGGGACTTTAATGAATCATAAAATGCATGTTCAAAAACCATATACTCAAATAATTAAACAAATAATTCTCAAGTCTGAATTTTCTGGAACAGCTGCACCATACACTCCAGCCCACTAGGTGGCGGTAATTAATTCAATTTTTTTTCTTTTTTCTTTTTCTTTAAATCCTTAACTGGTGCTCACGCCTCAGACTCCGTGAGGAAGAGTTTAGATAACTGTCATCTTCATCAGGCCTTCAATTTGGAAGTTATTTTTCCTCTTTAAGTGTTTCTGTCTCTTATCAAATATTCTGAACAAACAAACAGCTCTTTGAATGGCTGATATCAATCTCTCGCAGGGCTATAAAAAAAAAGAAAAGAGTCTTGAGCGAGAAGAAAGGAGAAGGCTCAGATTTCACAGCTGGAATTTTGGTTGGTCTTCGCTCGCTTCTAAGTCTTTTCAGGGCGAACACACGCAGCAGATTCATGTAAACTCATGTTCACGGCTCGGGCTCTTACCCTCGGAGGTCGGTGCTGTATGCGAGCTCGGGCAACTTTCTGCTTGTTGACGATGTTCATCAACTTCACGGCGTCGTTCCCCTTCACGTAAACCACCGGCCTCTTCAGAGGATCCTCGGCGACCTGGTTCAGCTGAAAAGAGTGGAGGAAATGAAATGGGCTGATTTAGTTGGTCTTGGTCTTTTTTCTTGATTATTAAGTAAAGTGAGTTAAATAAATTGTGAAATTAATCAGAAATTAATCTTCATTGCTCTAGCGCTAGTGGTTCTCTAACTTTTTCTACTCTGTACCAAAACATTGATCTCACTGAGTTCCACCATGATGACCAACATTAAAATATAGCATAGGCCTTCACTATTAGCGGGGGGCAAATGTAGCAACTTTTTTTCAATCTCTATTGCTCACAATTAATCATGATTAATTCAGATCATCAATGGTTTTGTTATTAATTTTAAAATAATAATCAACCTGTTTTCACAGAGGCAGTAGGACGACATTATTTGGGAGTGACTGCAATTAGTAACCCATTGTTTCCCAAAGATTGGGTGGCAACCCTCAGGTGGGTCACAAGAGTTGTTTTTTTTTTGGGTCGTCTTGCATCATGTTTCCCAGGAGTTTACGAATAATGTCTATTGACTTCGGTCGCGAAGGTTTGTGACTTTTAAAATATGCGTCAGCGGGAAAATTGTTAAGGAAACACTGTAGTAACCCATAAAATGAACACATATAATTTAAATATACGTCTTATAGACATTTCAAAGCTTGTCCATTACTGTGACCACTCTCAAATCTCTCAATGTTTATCAAGTTTAAATGTAAATTTCCCATTTACGGTTCTATGTGGAAGCAAAATCTGAAAAAACAAACAAACAAACAAAAACATTCAAGTGTACTTAATCATATATTCCATGGTTGATCAAAGAAGATGTCAAATGAAGAAACAATTACGTCTGGGATGTGATCCAGGACTGAGGATACTGACACTGTGGGAAAATACAGCCTTCGTCTTGGGTTGTGCTCTCGGAGTGTTTTCTTTCACTATTATTTTTATTAATGTACCAATAATTGGTTCTGTCGTGATTACACTCCCTATTAAAAGTATTAGACATGCTGTAAGTATCACACTCATTATTGTCATTAGAATAACCAGTCAGACCAAACTTTGAATCTGGCAGCTCCACTGCTGTCTCTACTGAATTTAGGGCAAAGAGTTGCTCATCTTAGCTCCAGTCAGGTCGAAGGTTTTTCCTTCCTTTTTTCCTTCGTACCATCACAATGCTATAGGAATATTTGGATGTGTTGCTGATCCATTTGCTAACTTTGATAAAGCCACAGTAGAGGGCAGTAATGCTACTCGTAAGTTTTAAATCTGTCCCCCCTAAAAGAAATAAGGGTTTGTTAGCATAATTAGCTTGGCCTAGCCCTGGGGAAGTCTCACTCTGAAATTCAAACTTACTATTCATCACTACTACTAGCACGAGGCTCTAACACCAGCTACCCTAGCATGGGCTAACACATTAGTGACATATTCGCTGTGTTCTAGCATGCAGCTAACATAGCACTAATATGCTACAGTTCATGCTAGTCCTCTGCTGACGTGCTGCTAACAAATTGGAATACTGCAATATTTCATTTATATCATGGATTATTTGTAAAAACAAAATACTGTATTTATTTAACTTGACAAATCCACTATTTGCTGCAATACTAGCCTAACATATTTAAGGTGTATTAAGGCGTTGCTAAATTTGTCATCAGACAGAAATGATCGGAACCTCTGAGCTAATGGCGGTCACCTGTCTGAATGAAGTATAATGTTGTCTTTTACCAACTGGATAAAAATGACCTACAGACCTGAGACATGGAAAGTGTGTTCACAGTCTGCCTGAGGAGGAAGGAGGAAATACTCAATGGATAGCATGTCCTGACAAGAGTGAGTTGACATATTCCTTTCCTCCTCCTCCTCTCTCCTCCTTCCCCTCTTCTCCCTTTCGTCTGTAATTTGAAAAGCCAGAGGGAAAATACCGAGGATATTCACGTTTCTGCCGCTGTCATGTTCCGCAGGAAAATATTGTATGTTCTGGTTTGAAAGTGTAGATATTGAAACTTTTGATTTCCCCCGTTTGATTCTGGTGAAACGACTACAGTGAGACTTAGACCTACTTTGAACAACACCATAAAGTTTTCATGTCCCAGGTGCATTTGGAATAATATTAGAAAAAAAAGAGGTCAAGAACATTGGCTCTATCCTAATTTTGGCTACCAGGACCTTGATTCTCCTGTAGCCCTCCCCCGCCTCCCTCCCCCTCTGTCCTGTTGGTCCTGCCTCTGCTGATCGGGCTGCTCTGACTGGAAATGCCTCTCGGGGGAATTTAACACAACCGCCCAGTGCTCCCTTTCATGTGGTTTGTGTGCAATCCCTTTTATCTCTCAGCTACGCGCTTTACGACCCAGCGGCAGAGAAGAAGAGGCGAGGAGGGAAGGGGGAGGAAAAAAACCCTTGCAAGTCTAGGCCTGGTGTGGTGAGAATGAATACCACAGGAGAATTCTTGCGACTAAGACGCTCAGAGGAGCAAATCGTGTATTATACCTCCAACCGGCAGAGACACAAGAGCCAGAAAGACTGGAAAAAGAAGGAATGTTGGTGTTTGGGTGTGTGTGACATTTTGTTCTTACTGTAGTCGCTGCGTGTGTGTGTGTGTGTGTACTCAACTCCCCTAAAAGTGCATGCAAAAACAGATCCATGATCTCAAGGGATGAGGTAATGTGTTCTACCTGTGCAATTATGAGCTCAACAGAGTTTGGTCATGGTCTAGTGAAAGCTGAACCTGGATATCCATTTTCAGTCTTCCCAGAGTGCACTGCACTCCTGCAAACAGACGAATGCCCTCAAAGGCCTGCAGTGGCTGAATGAGCCACTGATCCACATGCTTTGAACAGCACTAAAGATAGAAAGATCATTGTCTGTACAAACACTTGCAGTCAGTGCCATTCAGCAGGGCAGGGCGCGCTGCTCAGCTTATTTCAGGAGTGAAGAGCAATGCGTCTTTCGTGGACAGACCCAGACGGATTATTAATACCTGCCTTTTAATCGCAGCTGCAAATGTGAACGCGGGGGTGGAGAGGGGATTTTAGGTGTTTACAAACCTGGTCGATGGCATCTGGGTTCTCTGAGACGTCAAAGATGACAGCTGTGGCCCCTCGCTGCACGGCCCGCTTTGCCTGCGAAGAAAAAAACAAAAACAAAGCGTTCATTACACATATGGTATGTTTCTGTAAAAACAAACAAACAAACAAAAAACATGTTTTACTGTCATTTCAATGTAAAAACTAGTGCTTTCCAAACTTTTTTTTTACATTCAAATTTATTCCACTAGAGGGAGTTCTCTGCTCAAGTGTAACAGTGAAAAAGAGGACTCAGAAAGTGTTAGGATGCACACATGTTCTCTGCTCCCCTAATTCTTCATTATGTCACTCTCTGCAATTCTCAAAACACAATTGGCCAAATGTTCCTGTTTGGTTCTAAGCGTGTACATGTGATGGAAAAAAAAAAGCTCTTTTTCTCAACATGAAGTAGAGGAAATCATATCAAAGAAAGCTTCAAAATAAACAACCTCCCCCAAAAATACCCGGACTACAAAAACCCTTTATCTTCCCTTCTGCCGCCATATTCTCACACCCACTTAACTCACGGTGCCCTATTTAGAGAAAGTTTTAATGTCTGCACTACATGATCTAAAAGAGTGTGGCCTGGATCATATCCTGCTATTATCAAGTGCCCTTGGGTCCTGGCCAGCTCTTTTCATTACTGCCGGAGGAAAGAGGCGGACGAAGATCAAAGGTACAGTGTACAGTGGTGTAACTCTGCTGCTGACTGGCTGGAGAGTGTCACAACTCCAGACTCTGACTCCCTCTCTCTGTCTCTATATTAT